AGTATAATGGGAACGTTAGGGTTACACTTTATTTTAATGGTTCCCTTTAGATATTATTTTGACATTAAGTAATGTTGCAGCTATATGTCAACTAACTCTCATCAGTAGACTGTAAGGGTATTTTGTAGAATAAGGGATTAGGGTTAGTAGAATAAGTTGACATGTAGTATATGGTCAGTAAAGTGTTAGCAGATATTAAGCAGACAGTCAACTAATACTTTAATGAGAGTCAGTTGATATGAATTGGTGCAACGTTAGCCTACTTAGCCTACCATCAAAATAAAGTGTTACCAATAGTGACTTTTGAATACCATCTAAAGTATAAAGTGCAGTTGTAACGCTATCAAAACATTAGATTAACTTCCAAGTTACTAAGGTCCCCTTTACACCTGGTAATATGATGTGTTTTGGACTTCATTGGAGTTGTGTAGAAATACCATGTTTTTGTTGTTGTTTTTTCAACTTATATTTTATGTTCATTTACATGTTTTATTGAATACTGCGCTTTCTTTGAAGGACTTATTTAGCCCAGTTGTGTATTCATTTTGTCTAAAGACTAAATATCAGCGTCGATGACAGGGTTTATTTGTTGCGTCTGCTATCATGTCCTCAAACATCCTCAGTGTAGTCGTCTCAGGAAGCAGTCGGGACGCTTCAGGCATTAGCCGGACGTGCAGGAGACCACCAGTACGGTGCGAGATCGCTGCCATGTGTGCCACAGATGCCTTCACAACTCCACCAACACAATAAAACCAACGCAAGCGCCTCCATATCACTGACAAATAGACATGATGCAATGCTGTTTTGTAATCTCAGAAAATACAACTGCTTCTTTTAGGCACCATCATCGTCGTCCCAGTTTTGGCAGAGCGCTGTGGAAAATGCACGTCTGCGCAAACAAATGCTAGCCAAAGACGCGGCGTTTAGTAACGTGCAGCAGAGCATGACGCGCGAGGAAAAAAACAACAGCGTGCAAAGACAGATGGACCCAGTTTAAAGTTGACTGCTCGACCATAGACTGTAAAGAAATGCTCGACATGTGCTGACTCTGAGGGCGAACTCGCGTTCGGTCGCTCTCGCAGGTGTTTGGTCCGTATGCGTTCAATGGAGGTGGGATTACAAACACATTTACTGTAATGGCTTGGCTTGTTCTCCCATCTCTCTTAAGTGTGGCCTCACTGACATGGAACTTCAGAGTAAGGCTCTGTGTAGAAATTAGTGCTGTTTTTGTTCATTTTAGTATAATAAAGCAGTCATCAAAACGGTGAAATTGCACAAATTAAGGTATGGGAAATAAATGGGGACCAAGACATGCAAAAACTGTTGCATTTGAGCTTCTTCTCTGACTAGTTTGCAACTCCAAGACTTCACCTATAGACAAAAGTTTTGTTGATCCTGTTGATTCCAATCAGCCAATAAGATTTGAGGGAAAAGTTTACAGTTTATGTCAAGTTTAGGGTTACAACCAGGGTTAGGTGCTATCTTTTCCCGGATACACTGTAAAAATGATCGTGATTTTAACGGTAAAAGACTATAAAAATGCTACAGTGAAAAACTGTTATGTTAATTGGTTAACAGAAAGTTTCCTTACTATATACGGTAAATAACTGTGATATATATATAATGGTACATTTAATGTAATTTTACTGTAAAATACCATTAAATTTACAGTTTTTGGAAGTGAAAAAGAACAAGTCATTGTATAATTTACAGTGAAAAAAAATGTAAATTGACATTCCCACAATTCCCTGCGTGACACTTCACATTTAATGTATTTTATTAAATAACAGTTTCTTCATAATTGTCTTATTTAACAATATTCTAATCAGTTATGTACATTAGGGTTTTATGTTACATTTAATATTGTTAAATTAATGCTTATTGCATGATGAGCTTTGATTGATCATGTGACTCTCATTACTGCTGTGATTGTTCGCTGTCAGTGTATTGCAATTGAACAAAACAGATATTAATACTTCAAGGTCAGTAAATTAACATTATATCAGATAATGAAATACGGTTTATTGCTGTAAAATTAAATACGGTTAAAAGTCTGTAAAACCTAAAATGCTGCTACCGTATTTTTAACAGGAAAACTCTGGTAACCACAGCTGCCAGACTTTTTCCCGTAAATTTAACAGATTTTTTTTTTTTTTTTTTTTTTACAGTGGTACATTTCGGACAGGAATGTTGGGATGCTTTTTAAACATTATGATGCAGTGTTATTGAGATAGCCTATTATAGTTTTTATTAATTGTTTGCATTCATTTCTATTTTTACGCTTCCCAATTTGATTGTTTTTTTTTGTTTTTTTTTACATTTTGACGGCTTTTTTATTCATTTTTTATTTCAGTTTTAGTTATTTAAATTAAATGTAAATGAAACTGAGAAAAGTTTCCATGCCGACTAGCTGAAACAAAATGTTTTATACATTTTATTTCAGTTATCATATGCTTTTAATTTTAGTTAGATAAAAACCCTGGTACACTGTAAAAATTAATATGCTTTATCTAATCAATAAAATTGTGGCAACAGATTACAAGCAATATTATTTATTAAAATGAACAAATTAGAATTGAGTAATAACTAATCAAATTAACATTCTAATTAATTCTAATTTGTACAATTTAATTAATAATATTGCTTGTAATATGTTGCCACAATTTTATTGATTAGATAAAGCATATTATTTTTTCAGCGTATGATTGACATTCATTTTGCTCTCCTCTCAAAATCCTCCCAAAAAGTAAAGCACGTCATATGTAACCACAATTTATAACATTTTTTAGCACGTATTTAAGCATCAGCCTAGTCAACTTTTTTGACTTGTAGGGATTCTACACTGAAAAAAAGAATATGCTTTATCTAAAAATAAAATTGTGGCAACATATTACAAGCAATATTATTAATTAAATTGTACAAATTAGAATTAATTAGAATCATGTTAATTTGATTAACTATTACTCAATTCTAATTTGTTCAATTTAATAAATAATATTGATTGTAATCTGTTGCCACAATTTTATTGATTAGATAAAGCAAATTCATTTTACAGTGTATATTTTGGGGATAAATTTGTACCCAGAGGTGACCAAAGCCTGACAAAATCTCCAAAAGGGACGTCCTCATTTGCAAATCTGCTATAAAAATAAAGTAATTAAAGTTTTTTTTAAATTGTTAAAATGCAGAAAGTTTTGTGTGATGGGTAGGTTTAGGAGTCGGGTTAGTGTGAGGGAGATAATATGCAGTTTGTACAGTATAAAAACCATTACGTCTGTGGAATCTCCCCATTTAGTGAGCTAAGTAAACGTGTGTGTGTGTGTGGGATCTTCATTCAGCTTTTTGGTGTCGCTCTCATCTTTGATCACTGATCACTGAAGCTTCTCTAATCCGTCTCACTGTCATCCTGTCTGTATCATTCCTTCCTTTCATGCTTTCATCCCAGCGCTGAGAGGACACAGAGCACTCAGATAGTTTTACCGGCTCACTTGATACCTGCAACCCGAGACCCCAATGGAGCCACTTCACACACACACACACACACACACACGGATAGATAAGTGCAAACGCTACCTGTGGACATATTCGCTCGCTCGCATTAAATAAATGTTGTCTGATATTGCTGTTTGAATTTTTTTTTTATGTTATGTTATGGCCGAAAACCAATTGATTGCAAATAAATAAATAAAAAGTTTTAAACCCACCACAGTTATATAATTTTATGTATGAAACAACACAGGTGAAATTAGACAATATACAGTTGAAAACGGATAACTGCTTATCAAAAATAATCACTCTTTAATATCTCAATTGTTTCTCAAAAACATCAGGGGGATTAAAGGGAGAACAAATGGAGAAATCCTGACATATGATTAGAGATTATTTGCCCAAACAATTATCATCAGATTATGACAATATGACATTGTATAATTTCATAATATATATTTCTCTAAAATTCCTTCATTTCATTTTCATAGTTAGACCTCTGATTTCCCCCAAAATAAATGCATAAATGCTGAATATATATTATTTAAATATATATGACGGATAAAATGGATATTGAATATTATAAATTACAATTGTATATGTGTGTGTGTGTGTATTTATTATATTCAATGTTCATTTTATCTGTCATATTTAAAAGATAAATTCAATCATTATTCATTAATTCCGTATTATTCAGTAAAAGTGGACATAAACAAAACAAAGTTGCAGGACAGAGTTGATTTTCCTCTGATGATCTGCATCCATCAGCATCAGCCTAATCAAACTGATATCCACAATTAAGAAAAACACAATTATAGACTGATAGTGATGTGCCAACCGATCACATGTAACACAACCCAGTGCCACACAGACTCCATCGGTGGATAAAGTGACCAGTGTTTTTAGATCTGTGTATCTGAACTGAGGAAGCATGTATCGTGTGCACACCCAGTGTGTGTGTGTGTGTGTGTGTGTGTGTGTGTTTGGGCAGCACAACTGTCATGATAGAAGCATCTTTCCACACTTTTACTCTGATCAAAGAGCAGCCGCACAAACCCCCCGCGACTACAGCCCCAGGGTTCACACTCGCTGCCACTGGGGTTATCACAGTCTGATAACCAGTGTCAGTGTGTGTGTGTGTGTGTTGACAACTGAATTAAAACCTGCCAGTGAGCAAAGGTCAAACAAAACTGTAATTTCCCCTCTGACCTCTTCACAGAAACACGCAGATGCACACATCCTTTGGTTTGTTCCCCATTTGAGGCTTTAAAGCAAAAACTGAATAATTTAAATGTTTTTACAAATGCCGAAGAAAAGGTGACGAGTGTTTCCTCGTGCAAGAGTGACGGCCTCAATTCAAGGTTGTTCTAAGCTAAAACTGAGCTAAAACTAAACGTGGTTTTAAAATAGTTCAAATTAAACCTATAGTATAGTATAAAAACTCATTTAAGCAGACTTTGCTCAGTGTCACATGATAGCCTCTGTATTAACTGGTAATGTGTTGTGTGTTTCAGGTATTTTGGAGATCACGTCAGTGGATGTTGGGATCGTTGCCGTCAAAGGTCTCGGCAGTAACCTTTACCTGGCCCTCAGTAAGAGAGGAGAACTGTACGGGGCGGTGAGTGTCCTGCACCAAATCTCCTCAAAATACACCTGGAGTTAAAACTATGGGGTTATGGGAATCTGTAGGGAGACTCAAGGGTGCTGTTGTAAAATAAAATAAAATTTAATTTAATTCAATTTAATAAAAAAATAAAATTAAAATAAAATAAATAAAATTAAAAATTATAAAATAAATAAAAAACAATAAAATAAATAAAATAAAACTGAATTGAATAAAAAATTAAAATTAATACAATTAAAATTAATTAAAACAAATAAAAACGATAAAATAAAGAAATCGAAATAAATAAATAAATAATAAATAATAAAAATTTAAAACAAAAAAATAATAAAAATAAATTAAAAATATTAAATGAACAAAATAGAATAAAATTTAATTAAATAAAAATAATAATTATAAATTATAAAACATTATACAAATTTAATAAAATAAATAAAAACAATTAAATTAACAAAATAAATTAGACTATTAATTAATACTTTAATTATTTTTATAATTAAATTAAATTAATTGAATTTATTAATTATCATTAAATTATTTAATTATATTGTCAGACAGTTTATTTACATAGTTGACGTTTCTGTTACATTTCTATTGTATATAAATATAATATTTGAAACTATTATTATTGATATTCATCCCAGTATAAATAGGGCTTTATACATGAGAATATATAACTTATATTTTAGGAGTTCTACAAAGGAATCACCATATCTTTGAAAACCCCTAGGCTGTACCCGCTGAAAAATAAGGTCTTGTGTGTAATTTCTGCAGCACTGTATGTCATTGGTCAAACAGACAAGTAGCCCCGCCCCAAACTCACACCATTGGTTGAGTCAGTGTTGCTGTGTCAGACAGGTCAAAGGCTGCGTCCACACTCTCTTGAGTAGATACTTATTTTGAGTAAGTAATTACTTCACGACCACTAAAAAGTATAGTATGTCAGTGTGTGTAGTATGAATGGAATCTGGACGTACTACATCCGCCATGCTGTCATTATCATGTGACCCACAGCGTCAGTTACTTCACTGTCATTCCAAAATCCTCTCCCTTGGCCTCATGTGATAGTAAAGTGTCCATATCCAAAATAATCTTGCCAGAAGTAGAAGGTCATCCGGGTACTTTTTGCCTACTCTGAACTATGAACACTTGCGAATTCAGACGCGAATTCAATTCGTATACTACTGTTTTTCACCTACTATATAGTGGGGAAGTATGCGATTTAAGATGCAGCCAATGCTTTTTTTGAGGGAGAATGTACAAATAGCTCACTTATTTTAGTATTCAATGCAATAAACACATTATCTTTAACATATGTGATAAACTTAAAGGGGTATGATTTCACTTTTCTAACTTAAGTTAGTGTGTAATGTTGCTGTTTGAGCATAAACGACATTATCAAAGTTACAACGTTCAAAGTTCAAAGCAAAGATATTTGAAGAGTTCAGATGCAAAAGCCTCTAAATGCCATTTGAAATTTTCTTCTAAAATGACCATTTTTGTCAAACTTGTATATTTAAGTTCAGTAATTTCACTTAAATAACAATTAATAGGTAATTATCATTGCCATTTAAGTGAAATTACTGAACTTAAATATACAAGCTTGATAAAAATGATCATTTTAGAAGAAAATTTCAAATGGCACTTAGAGGCTTTTGCATCTGAACTCTTCATTTGCTTTTAAAGAAAAGGACTACAACAAACGGCTGGTAGGGACTACACAAGCTTCCTCCCCAGTTAGTGACGTCACCAACCCTAAAATTTACATAAACCCGCCCCCGGGAACACGCAGTCCATGTTGAGAAGAGGAAGAGTGGTTGTACAAGAGTCCATTTGTGAGTCAGCTCAAACTTACATGCAATAGAAAGTCACTCCGTGTGCATCTCACAACAGTTCCTGTACGAGCGATTTATAGATTACATGACAGAATATCCCAATTGAAGAAAGTTAAGTCCACATCAGCAGCATAAATTCATCAACTAACCATTCAGAGACGCCCTGTCGTATTCTACATGTTGTCACTTCTTCTTGAGTCTCTGACTCCGTTTTAACATTAAAGGGAGAACAGTTTCGGTCATTTTAGTGTGTCTGCGTGAGGAAATCGCAGACCTCTTGAAGCCCCGCCCTCTGCAGCAGCTCATTTGCATTTAAAGGGCCAGACACAAAACGGTGCGTTTTTGCAAACCTTAATAAAGTGACAACTTTAACATGCTATATAAAAATATCTGTGGGGTATTTTGTGCTAAAACTTCACACACACACACTCTGGGGACATCAGAGATTTATTTTAAACCTTGTGAAAATGGCATTTTAAGCACGTGCGATAAAGCGATGAGTGATTGAGAATGAGATTTAAATGGTTATTCAGTCAGAGGTGAGAATATTTTCAAGATTTGTTATCACAACATATTTTCTTTTGTCAAATCAACTTTATAATAATTTATTTAGTTGAGATAACTTATTATTTTGAGTTTCTGATGATTAAATTAATCTACTTCATTGTATTAAAGGATTAGTTCACTTTTGAAAAAACTTTTGCTGATAATTTACTCACCCCCATGTCATCCAAGATGTCCATGTCTTTCTTTCTTCAGTCGAAAAGAAATTAAGGTTTTTGATGAAAACATTCCAGGATTTTTCTCCATATATTGGACTTCAATGGGAACCGGATGGTTCAAGTGTCAAAAGACGGTTAATAACTGTTTCAGATGCAGCTTCAAATGTCTTTAAACGACACCAGACGATGAATAAGGGTCTTATCATGCGAAACGATCGGTTATTTCAAAACTTATTCCAAAAATGTAACTTTTCTAAGGACAAATGCTAGCCTTGCTATATTCTGTGAGGCGCGTTTGCAACGTCACGTAATACGTAATTACGTTCAAAAGGTCAAGGGCGACGTAACCGAAAGTACAGAGTCAGTGTTTACAAGTTGAACGCATAGGTTGAACGTGCAAACTAACTCAAACACCGTTTACAAAAAAAGGAATTAAAAGGAAAAACAACGATGTCGGACGATTTTGATTCTGTACTTTCGGCTACGTCGCCCGTGACCTTTTGAACGTAATTACGTATTATGTGACGTTACAAACGCGCCTCAGAGAATATAGCAAGGCTAGCATTTGTCCTTAGAAAAGTTACATTTTTGGAATAAGTTTTGAAATAACCGATCGTTTCGCATGATAAGACCCTTATTCATCGTCTGGTGTCGTTTAAAGACATTTGAAGCTGCATCTGAAACAGTTATTAACCGTCTTTTGATACTTGAACCATCCGGTTCCCATTGAAGTCCATTATATGGAGAAAAATCCTGGAATGTTTTCCTCAAAAACCTAAATTTATTTTCGACTGAGGAAAGAAAGACATGGACATCTTGGATGACATAGGGGTGAGTAAATTATCAGCAAACGTTTTTTCAAAAGTGAACTACTCCTTTAACTCACTTTTTCCAGTTCAATCAACTTAAAATTTGAAGGCAACCCAGGTTACTTACTTTTTTAAGTTAAACCATCAATATTTTTTTACAGTGTATGGTCTGGTTTTCCTTGCAGGAAATGTAATCAACTCTTTGTTTCTTGCATTTCAGAGAAACTATGGTGTAAACTGCCGTCTGAAGGAGCGCATCGAGGAGAACGGGTATAACACGTACGCGTCCGCCGTGTGGAGGAACAAGAAACGACAGATGTTTGTAGGTCTGAGCGCTCGTGGAAAGTCTCTGCGTGGGAGAAAAACCCGCAGGAAGAACACAGCTACACACTTCTTACCCATAATGCTGTGACGTTTGTGACGCAATGCTGACGGGATGGAGAGAGAGAGAGACTTTGTCCGCACGCGCCTCTCTTTGCTTGCTCCTTCTTTATAACGTTATGCTCATGCCAGCTGATATTAAGTGGTCAATATTCTCAAAAGAGCAAAGTTCGTGAATGTTTCATTTCCATTGTGCGTTATTCCAGTGATCTGTTATTGTGGATTATGTGTGCAAGAGTCTCCTGAATAGGATTATATTTCTGAGATCATTTATTTCTAATAGACATGCGTCGCACTGGGAAAGATAGTGGGGATGTACAGCATACGGGGAATTTGTATCTTCAGTTTTGGACTGCTTTGAAATAACTATATTATTTATTTGTATTGTATTTAAATAAAATACTCTAAAAAAAACATATTAAAAGCATATCAAATGGATAACCTCTTCCTGTGAAATAAAATCTATTTTGTTATCCTCCTGGAGAGCAGCTTGTGCCGTGTTTCATGTTCACGTCCCAGACTGGAGGAATAACAAGCGGAAATTTGGGTGTCAAAATCAAAATCAAAAAGTAAATATCTCATTAAGCATATAGTTTCATTGAAAAATACCATTATTCATATTAGTAATTCTCTTTAGACTCTTCTTAAGTAATTTATTACAAAATTAATGTAAATTAAGACCCCCAACACACACAATTAATATGTATGTAATAAATATTAACAATAAACTAAATGAAAAGGAGAAATGTTGTCTTGGCAATAAAATTCATGGAAATAAATTAAAACTTTGATGATTAGGATAAAAAAAGATGTGGACTAATGAGGGTTCCACATAAAAAATAAAATTAAATAAAAATCACATGAATTAATAAATGACATGAATGAAAATGAAAAAAGCACATTAAAGAAAATTCAGAAAAATAACAAATAAAAATGGAAAAAAAGAATAATAAAAGCGAAAAATGGATAATAAAACAAGTAAATAAAATGGAAATAAATAAAAAATTAAATTAAAAGTATGAAAAATTGTTTACATGTAAATGTACATATAAAGTTTGCATGAACAAATAAATGACATAACATAAAAATTAATCAAAATAACAAAAGCACATACAATAAAATGACTAAAAATGAAATTAAAATTACAAAAAAGTATGTAAATAATACTAAAATATCAATGCAATATAAATATTTTCCATTTAAATCATTTACAGCAATAAGAGTGAGGGATTTTATTTTATTTTTGCGTTATAATAATGTATCCATTTATGGTAAAGATATGATTGAATTTCCCGTAATAACAGTTGGAAATCATTACGTTTGTGGATGCTGTTTGGTCTCAACAACACTTGCAACAGCCCAGAGAGAAGTTTGGCTTACCCACCTGATACAAAACAAAGTTAAACAACCATTACATTTTCCACTCGCTCCTTGACTCCATCAGATCATTTGTTTAGTTTCACACCTATCTATTGCATCCACTTGCAAATGCAGTTGTTTCCGTTTCCTTTACGGACAAAAAAACATTCAGTAACGGGAACTGAATCCTGCTATCTTTTATCTAAATAGTTCTGGATAATTGGGGGAGCGAAAGGCGCTCACTCCTATAATGTGATCCAGCTTGAAGAAACAAGTGGAAAAAGACTCGGGGCGAATCTTAATGAATGTGTGTGTGTGGAGCGGCCCATAACACAGGGTGTTATGGTTTCTTCCCAGTGACTCGGGTGGGGAGGCCCACTGAAGCCTTATGGGGGGTCAGGGCTGGTTTATAGGGGCCCGGGCCCTTCCGTCATGCTGCTTCAGTCTGGGGCCTGGCCGAGCGTGTGTGTGTGTGTGTGTGTGTGTGAGGTTCTCTGTCTGAATCACTCCTTCTGTCATCAGACATCACACCCAAATCTGTCTTGACAGTCCGGTTAAAAAAGGTTATCGGCTGTCTGTCAGCAGTCATTAATGGAAATGTAAAGAAAAGGCTTTTTAAGTGGATTAACTTAAGCAGTTTGACCTTTTTTTTTTTTAGATGTATTAAAATGTATAGATATATTTTATATATTTATTATAAGATTAATTGCGATTAATCGCATCCAAAATATAAATTTGTGTTTACATAATATATAAGTTTAATTATTTTGTATATATAAATATGCATGCATGTAGAATTATTTGCACGTAAATACTGTATATAAATACATAATCTATATTATATATAAATATAAATATTTTATATATAAATAATACATTTTCTTAAATATATACATGCATGTGTGTGTATTTATATATACAAAATAATTATACACAGCACACACAAATATATTATGTAAACACAAACTTTTATTTTGGATGCAATTAATCGCAATTAATCTTTGCAGAGCCCTAATATTTATAGTTTAAAATATTGTTTTAAAACATAATAGTATTATTAAATATTATTTAAACCTCTATATATACATCTATATTTATTAGAGGATACAATAATACTAAAAATACAATTATTTACAAAATTAGGCAAAAGTTATCTAGGCAAATTTATCTTATTTAAAATTATATTATATAAAGATATTACAATTGATTACATTTTTAATGTATAATATTAATGTATCCAAACTTTTGTAAAAATAATTAAAATGAATATATACAAACATACATAAATATTTATATGTAATATTTATCTTACTTTAATAGTTTAAATATTTTATAATCAATTATGTTATATAAAGTTGGTTACATTTTTAATTTATAATAGTATTGTAATAATATTCATATATAATTGTATATAAAAATACTAAATTATATTGGTAATATATATCATACAAAACTGGGAATAAAATAAAATTTATACCATAACAGCTCTGTTTTAAATAGATGCTTTTGTTGTTTTATTTAAGTAAACTATTTTTAAATTTAAAAATAAAATAATTATAAAAAAATAACCTTATTATTTATAACAAAGGTTTCCGATTCCTGACCTGTATCATTTAGTTTGGAAGAATAAAGCTTTTATTGTTCGGTTTCTGGATCGAGACTTTTATTTTGAATTCACGGCGCGGAAGTTAACCCCGGAAGAAAACGTCTTGGCGACCTCCCCACACGCACGTGTGCGCCACACTCACTCTCATGATGGTTGCAGTGATGCAGGGAGAGATGGGAGAGATCGAGAAAGACACCGTTCGACCCAAAGTTACCGATGCAAAAGGCATCCTCAAACAGAACCGAGAGTTTCTGGATTATTTCTGGGACATCGCGAAACCCGAGCGAGACATCCGTCTCAAAGCGATAGAGGATCTGATTGAACACCTGAAGCAGAGCGAGAAGGTATGAAGAGAATGATCATATTAATATTGGATGATCACTGTTGATCAATATTATTCTTAGCTAGAGTTGGTTTAGTGCAGTTTTATCACCCGATTTAATGAGTTGTCATTATCCGTTCAGTTTTGGTTGTTAACGTAAACACATGTGGGTTTCATGGGGCTGGATTTTTATTATTTATGAAAACTTTAATGTATACACACTCAAGACAAGATGATTTAAAGAGAAAGAGGAAAAAAAATCAAGTTACACTGTTTTAATTTTTCACTTTTCCCCATTATTTAGAGTGTTAAAATGTTTGTAGTTTGTCCCTCTATGACAAATATGAAGAATGTCTATCTATCTATCTATCTATATATCTATCTATCTATCTATCCATTCCATCTATCCATCTATCCATCTATCTATCTATCTATCTATCCATTCCATCTATCCAGCATCTATCTATCTATCTATCTATCTATCTATCTATCTATCTATCTATCTATCTATCCAGCATCTATCTATCTATCTATCCAGCATCTATCTATCCATCTATCTATCTATCTATCTATCTATCTATCGATCTATCTATCTAAAATCCATCTTGCCTATCCATCATCCATCCATTAATCTGAAATCTATCTTTCTACCTATCTCAAATCTATCTCAAAATCCTTCCACCTATTTGTCTATGTATCAATTTAAAATCATCATCCATCCGTTATCCACATATGTTTCAAAATGCATTAAATGCTAATTGAAGAAAGCAAAACAGATGAAATGAGCTCTTGTGATAAAGTCAGTGGGTTCCAGCTGATGGCGTATGTTTATATGTGTCTGTCCTGTACTTTCTTCTAGGCGGATGAGTTGAAGTATTCACTGAAGAGACTAGTAGATGGTCTTTCTCACACAAGAGAGGATGCTCGATCAGGATACAGTGTGGCTCTCGCTCAGGTACTTTTAGCCATTCAAGTTTCATCTTCATGCTTTTCCTTATGTGGCAGTCATTAGTTATGAAATCGACTGTTATTGTTTCTGGTCTGAAGCTGCTGAGTGTATTTGAGGAGATCTCGCTGAAATCCACACTAGACTGCGTCAAAGAAAAGCACAACCTCAAGACAGCCAAAAAGGTGAGTGAAACCCTCATTACTCCATATTTTATTATCTTAATCATAATCAAGATCACCGATCTTTGATTCTTTTAACAGAAATTCATCAGAAGTGCAGCATTTGGGAATTTCTTCGGGGTGCTCGCGCTGTCTCAGTCCACACGTCTGCATAAGGTGAGAGAGGATTGGGTTACATCACTAATTCCTAATTTGCATATTATTTATGATGGTATTTGGGATCTTGTTCGGTCTCAGGAGCCGCAGGTCATGCTGGAGTGTGTCCAGGTCCTCCAGAGTCTGTCCCAGTACAGAGAACACCTGAGAGACCTGCCCAGAAAAACCATGGTCGACATCCTGTCAGAGGTGATTAATGACAATGTGTCATCATTTACTCGCCCTCGTATCGTCTTTTCTTCCACTTTAATACAAGTCATATCTTGAAAAACACGGATGAATATCAGAAAGCATGTTGAAAGGTACAGTACAACTTACCGAAATCCGTATCCATTCTCATGCAATCACAAAAGACGTCAATAAAGCAGCTTGTGCATAATATCACTTGTTGCATTTACCTAAGGAAAGTCCAATGTCCACAGTTATGTTAGCCATGAAAAACACTAGAGAAGAGCTTATTTATTGTTAATTATATATGTATGTTGGAATACATTTGTCATGAAGAAGTGTTTATGTGCAACTGAGTTGTATACAAACATTTCCTCTTTTGTTTGAGTGTAAATTAGAGCCAGACCGATATATCGGCAGACTGATACTATCGGCCGATATTAGGCATTTTCTAAAATATCGGTATCGGCAGTTATAATGGCCATTAAATTAATATTTCAAAAACAAAATAAAAATGGACATATCACGCTTCAACCAGGTCATGTTGTCAAAAAGTGCAGGTAAAGGGATAAGCAAGCGGACATTGTAATTATAAGGTAGCTTATAACTATAAGGCAATGTAGGTACTAATTATTATTTTATTTATCAGAACTTTAATATATTTTGATGTTTTTCTGTTCTGTTGTGACAATAGAAACAAGTTTCTTTTTAAAATGCATTATCATATTATTTTAGTTAACTCAT